GCATTCCCTCTCCAGCTCCTTCAGGGATTCCTCTTCCTCACAGAAACATTGAATAAAAAATAAAATCCAACAGCTTTCTCTCCATCTGCTAGGATGGTCCTATTTATCATGAAGCAGTAACAAAGAATTCAGGAACATGGATTCGTTCCACCAGTCACAGTGTGATTAGCAGGACGAGCAACGTATTTTATGGAGTATTTCTCTACAGTTGCTCCCACAAAAAGTCACTTGGGTATTTGGACAGGGCTTCCTGGAAATGCCTAGCGACGAGATACAGCATTGCATACAACACCCGTTCTTTTTAGTCTCGTTCCAGGCAAAATGCAGATGTGTTTCTAGATGCCCTGATTCATATGCTGTCATTTGCTCTCTGAAACTATCTTCCTCCCAGAGAATTAAGAGCAAGAGCAGGAGCTGGAAAGCACATGACTCTCCATAAATACATTCCTGAATACTCCGTAATACATTTACTGGACAATGGCTGGGATGCAAGCTTGATAACTCGGCATGGAGACCAGCTTTGTGACAGCATCTGTATTTTTATGACAGCTCATGCTGAGGATGCTTTGGAAAACCAGTCAGCTGACAGCGTTTCCATGCCCGACCAGCTCTGACACCTCCCTCTTACCTCTGCTTCAGACTGCCGCACTTGTTGCTTCAGCCGCTTCTGCTCCTCTATCAGGTTCTGCAGCACTTTCTGCAGGTGGAGCAGATTCCTGCGTTTCTCCGGGAACCCCGCCTGGAAGCAGAGAAGCTCGTGAGAGACAGCAGCACTCTCTGGGTGCACAGGACCAGGCACTCTGCTTGCAGAAACTGGCACGGTTCTGCTGTAGGCAAGACAGGGACACTGATTTCCACAGCTGAACCATCTAACCCATGGTCAGCAGGTCATTAGGCTTCATTTCCGTTTTGAATCCGTCAGTAATGTCGCCAGATGGCACAGCTTGCACTCTGCTGGTGCCACTGTTGTGTGGTTGGAAGCGGTTCTGCAGGGTTAGAGATGAAAGGATGGCACTCCAGCAACTGCCTGCTGTGTTTTTGCCCCAGTGGGAAACAGAAACTTTAAAATAACTTGCGTAACACTAAAAAAATCCTGTATTTGCAATATCGCTTTAATTTTCCTCAGTGTCATTGTGCAGTACCACTGCAGGATTTCCTGGCACACTTCTGCTCCTGATGACAGACTCACATCAGTGATATTAGTGGAGTGACACTCCCCTCCCAAAATGAGAGAATTTGGCTTAAGGACAACACTCCACTTCTTTTTTTAATATCTTTTCTTTAAGGCTGGCTAGCTAGCTGTCAGCAATGCATTAAGCCTCAGCATCTTGCTCTGCATCTGCAGGGTAAACTTTGGTGATTTAAGCAATGATGGGACTCAAGAAGTCCATGGCAAAATTGGAGCTAGAACCCAGGGTGTCTGCTTCTGCCTCTCTGCTGTGCTCTCTTCTTCACGAGAGAACAGCTGAGGAAATTTCAGCATCCCTGCCATGAAACTGCAGGACTGAGCCCAACAGCATCTTGCAAGGTCCCAGTGCCTGTGTCTACACTGCCTGATGACCAAGTTTGGGAACATGACCTCAGGCATGGCTAGAGCAAGCCTTTCACGCCACACGCCGTCCTGTCCTGCGTGCCCGGTCACTACCAGCACGGGAGTGCATCTCCAGGGGCGTTCCTGTCGTCAGCCTGGAGGCTGGCTGTGAGGGAGGTGTGCAGATGGAGCAGAGGGGCAGCATGGAGTATGTCATGCTTGTAGTTCTTTCACTGACATTTCACCTTCCTTTCGCGTCTTGTGTCTAGAAAAACGTCAAGATACAAGTAATTTTTCTCCATACCTGGTAGACGCTGCACGTTTCTAGTGTCCTGGCAATTTCCTTTCCTTTCCTACTGTCCTCCGGCACTTTATAAAAATCCGTCTTGGAGGCAGTGATGTAATTATCTTTGTAGTGATACGTCAGATGGATCGACCCCTCTGCGATCAGAAAGATACGTTCTGCTACATCGTCATCAGCAGGCTTGTCTGGGTTTCTGTGGAAACACTCCTTGATTTGCTAATGAGGGGTGAAAAGAAAGAGATGGAAGCAGGTTAGACTACACAGAGAACTGGCAAGATTGGCAGACAGCTGGGAAAAAAAAACAAGATAAAAATTGGGCTTTTCTGCCTGGACTACAATGGCACCTCTTGGCCCATGGTCCTACTGTTCTTTGCTGTGCCTGAGAAAAAAAGCAATACAGAAGTCTCCTGTTTGTGGAGCCGAGTATGCTCTCCGAGCTCAAAGTTGGTTCGGGATGCATCCCTGCCCGAGGGAACTGCAGGAAGCACGGCATTTTGGAGCACAACACTTTCCCACATTCCCCAACACAGGGAAGCAAAAAGGATTGGTGCTGGCTCTGTCTCGGCAGGAGAAGTGTTTGAGCCTTTTGCCAAACACTGGATTTCCTTCCTAGCTCAACTCTGTTCTCCAAATCAGACCTGACTAGAGGAAGAGGTAGATTACCTGCTTGGAACAGATCAGAGTGATGGGACACTTCATGGGGAACCTAAAATGTTATTAGTTTGGGGTCAGAACACAAAATCATTTGACTAGTTCTGAATCCTGTGAAAATTTCATTCCAAAATTATAGTCAAGCTTTTTTTCTTTCCTCTGACAGACATTTTCCAAGTCTTAGTTTCCCAGTTTCGTTCTAGCTGCTCAATGCAGTTGGTGACAACTGGTCACACTGCAGCTCTCCGTTAGGCAAGCAACTGGGAGACACAGCAGCCGGACAAGGCTTGGATCTATCACCTGGAGTCTTCCCTTGGCTCTGCCCACTGAAATGAAACCTAAAGCCCGAGGCAGTATGTTGTGCGTAGTATAAATAGATATTATAGTATAAACAGGTATTTTTCCGTTCCTGCCTTGGCCATACCACGATAGGCCGGGAGCTCATGTCACTTCCGGCGCCAGCCAAGGCTGTTTTCTCTCCTCTGTCGCCAAACTCCACGTGCCGGGTGTGCAGAAGGTCATGGGGTTTCACGAAGTACTCGGCCATCTCGTTGGCCTTTTCGACACGTTTCCGGAGGTCATCGACTCGCCCCTTGTAAAACTCCACCGTGCGCTCAGTCTCTGCTGCCAGCGACTTATAGGTGTGAGCTAAGGACAGAGAGAGATGGTGTGTTCCCAGAGTTGGCAACCACCGTGCCTGCGGCGAACACGAGCGTGCCCAGAAGAAGCCTCATTTTCTTCAGCAGCCAAGAAATCAAATGCACGTCAGAGGGTAAGAAGGGCATGTTATCTCCTCGCTGCTGTGCACCAATATGCCACAGCCCAAGGACAGCAGGACAGCTCTGCAGGGCCACCGCCTTCCTTACACAGCAAGGCAGCAGTGAGCGGAGCCCGGGCCCTGCTCTTCCCAAGCCAGCAACCGGCGGAGCCTCTTGGGGTGAAATGCTGCTTTAGCGACAAATCTGATGCAGGACTTTCTCTCCCCCAGCTGCACAGCAGTGAGAGACTGAACCTAATCCTACGGAGAAAGTTTCTACTTCTGTCACCTCTACTGGGAAAAGTAAATTATCTCACTCTCTGTACGCAAAATGAATTTGCTTTTCTTCTGCTATTCTGGGGGGGAGCACTGTCCAGCCCTGGAAGCCAACCACCCAATTCTCTACTCTCCACTGGAGACCGAATTGTTTCTCTAGGAGATTCATCCCACCACCCCTCAGCCCCCAACTCTGGGCTTTTGTCGCTACTAGAAGGGATTCACATGAAGCCCCATCAGCTGCAGTGGCTGTCCAGATGAGCTGGAATACCTTTAAGACCGAGGACGTGTCCTGGGCTGAAGTACTCTGTGGTCAGCTGTGTTTGTTCATTCACTTCTCTCATATCCAACTTGTCTTCTCGGTTTTTGAACCACTCCCTCACCTCCACTACTTCCATACCTGCCAGGAGACAAACCATTTCACAACCTTACGTCACTCTGTTGGAGGCTCTAAGATTCATCTGATGGGCTCTCAGTGTCCATGCAAGCACCGTGTGCTCCTGGTAGAGCCAAAGCAAATGTCCTGTGGTAACTGGAATCGGCCCTGTGCACAGGGACGTTTTGTAGATGAATCCTCATCTACGTTTGAGTAGATGAATTGTACCTGAAGAGGGTCTATTCCTCTCCATCAACAAGAACTAAAGTAATTGGCTCAGGGGGAGAAGGTGGCACAGCAAATGGCTACCTATAGGCAAGAGAAATTCCATCCCAAATGTTTCATGATAGTGTCAGGAGTGAAGGAAACGAGATGGGAGCATTACACTATCCAAGAGCGCTGAGGACAGGACACTGTATGTCCAGTTAGGAATCTGCACCCCTTCTGGCACCAGCTCTTGAAGAATGCTGCTTTGGAGTAGAAAAATACCCTCAGTCTGTAGCTGCCCCTTTCTGTGGCTCCTGTTGACACCAATGAGAATAGTGATCCCGCTGGATCGACTCAAACCAGCCTTCCATTCCTCTGAAGACTGACAATCCAAGCAGCTGACCTGCGACACTGAGCAGCCTCACCGCTGAAGTGTAACCCAGATTCAAGCTGTCACAGGAGCCCCAGCAGCGCTGGAAAGTTCTGGGACTTGACAGACAGTGAGCGCGACGAACTGTCTGAAGATGCGGTGGGTAAGTCCCCCCAAACGTGAAAGGAGGATGAGAAAGCACGAGAGAGACCCCGGCAGAAAGGGACCGCCTCCCCCTTCCCACCAGCACACCCCAGGCTGTGTTTGCTCAGGGAGTCGAGCGTGTTCACCCATCCCTCTTACAGTCCACGTCTGCGTAGACAGTGAGGCGTTTCACCAGCCCATCTCCATGCAGGTGCGGTGCCCATTTCTCCAGCTTGGCTTTCCTGTACAGGCTCACCTTCCTCCCCTGGGCATAGCGGGTCTCAAACTCTGCAGGGGGCGGAAGAGGTGTCAGAAAAATGGACTGCCTTGCACTCAGCCCCAGGAAACAGAATCCAAGATGGCCTAAGGGAAACTACGTGTTTACTGACGGTGACCAGCTGCCAGCAAAGCTGCTCAGACCCTGCCCGTTGCGCTTGAACCTCGTAACGGTGCAGTAAGTCTTTCCCAAAGCAGATGATTTGATAAGGCAGGGGCAGTCCCTGTACTCAGTGGTAACAGAAAGTCCATCCCAGCAGGATGGGATGCGGGTCTGGGGGGGGGTGCGTTGCTGCGGGGGCCGGGGGGGTCCCACCCAGGATGAGACAGTGCACTGAGGCAGGCACTCAAACCAATAGCTGTCGCTGCCTTCACCTACTGCACTTCACTGCTGTACCTTGTCCACCCTGAGGGCAGAGTTCTTCAGTGAGATAAACAAATGTCCCAAATCCACTAAAAGCTTAGCTGGGGGGCAAGCAAAAGGCAAAGGGAGAATACACACCTCTGCGAGATATCTCAATTGGGGCTACCCACGATCGTGGCATGTCAAAACTCATGTCCATCTTTGCTATCTCCTGCTGGAACAGAAGCAGAGATTTGCATTTTTGGCAGCTTCTCCTTCTATGCCAGGAGGCATTTTGGTTCTAGAGACCGCGGCGCAGCCATCAGACCTCAGCTCGCACAAGGCTGCCCTGGTCCTGGGGAACGTGGTGGCACACTTGAGGGAGCTGTGTGGGTCACACACAGCCTGAGCACAGAGCAAGGAGCACACTGCGCTTCACGTGGAAGGAGAGCTTTGCTGCATCCCCACACTCTCACTGGCACATCGCTACTCAAGCCCAATGCAACGATCTTCTCCTGGCTAATGCTCCTGCTGGACAGGGGTTGAATGTGACCATCGTCATTCAGACTAACGACCAGTTGAGTTTATGTAGATCTTGGAAGGCACTTTGCTGCTCCGTTATGGCCACAGGCTGAGAAGAGCAGATAACAGGAGGGAACATACATTTATCAGGGTTCCTCCGTCCTGCTGTGCTGGTGCAATGCCTGCTTTATCATAGAATCACAGAAGCACAGAATGGTTTGGGTTGGAAGGGACCTTCAAGATCCTCCAGTTCCAACCCCCCTGCCATGGGCAGGGACACCCTCCACTACACCAGGTTGCCCAAAGCCTCATCCAACCTGGCCTTGAGCACTTCCAGGGATGGGGCAGCCACAACCTCCCTGGGTGACCTGTGCCAGTGCCTCACCACCCTCAGAGGGAAGAATTTCTTCTGTCTATCTCATGGAAATCTCCCCTCTTTCAGTTTAAAGCCATTGCCCCTTGTCCTGTCACTACATGCCCTTGTCCAAAGCCCCTCTCCAGCTTTCTTGTAGCCCCTTTAGGTGCTGGAAGGTCTCCCCGGAACCTACTCCTCCCCAGACTGTACAACCCCAACTCTCTCAGCCTGTCTCCAGAGCAGAGGTGCTCCAGTCCTCAGATCATCTTTGTGGCCTCCTCTGATCCCACTCCAGCAGCTCCATGTTCTTCTGATGTTGAGGACCCCAGAGTTGAACGCAGCTCTGCAGGGGGGGGTCTCAGGAGAGCAGAGCAGAGGGGCAGAATCCCCTCCCTCGCCCTGCTGCCCACACTGCTCTGGATGCAGCCCAGGACACGGTTGGCTTTCTGGGCTGCCAGCGCCCAGA